TGTAATTTTACGACTTTGTTCTTGTAATTTTCTAACTTTATTGTCGTAATTTTACGACTTTATTCTCGTAATTTTACGACTTTGTTCTTGTAATTTTACGACTTTATTCTCGTAATGTTACGACTTTATTCTCGTAATTTTATGACTTTATTCTCATAATGTTACGACTTTATTCTCGTAATTTTACAACTTTATTCTCGTAATTTTACGACTTTGTTCTTGTAATTTTCTAACTTTATTCTCGTAATTTTACGACTTTATTCTCGTAATTTTATGACTTTATTCTCATAATGTTACGACTTTATTCTCGTAATTTTACAACTTTATTCTGGTAATTTTACGACTTTGTTCTTGTAATTTTATGACTTAATTCTCGTAATTTTACGACTTTGTTCTTGTAATTTTACAACTTTATTCTCGTAATATTACAACTTTATTCTCATAATTTTACGACTTTATTCTTGTAACAGAAGAAAAAAAGTCTTTAGCCTTGCCCTAATACTGTAATTTCTGGCGTCGTTTTTACATTTCTGCCTCATTATGCAAATGAAGATAGTGTGTCTCTTAGAGGGTCAACCTCTGCCCGTTGGTTGGTTAGCATTTTACTGCGACAACTATCTGGTTATCTGGTAAGAAGAAATAAATATGGTAAAAAAATACAAATGAAAAATAAAACAAATATTATAACATCCACATGAATAAATAAGGTAATTATTACAAAGGTGAATAAATAAAGAAGCTTTTTAAAACAGATATATATACATTTTTTTTTCACTGTATATTTTAATTTCTACCTACATTTATTTATTGCAGTTAGGGGGCAAATAATTGAATGCTTATTTATTTATTGAGAATTTGTGTATTTATTTTTAAATATGCTAGAACAGATTAAATCCTGCCTGTGGGTCAGAATGATGTGTGCAGTGGAACCACCAGGGGGCGTCTGATCTAAAACGGGTCATCTAACGAGGATCCTCTCTGTTCGCAGGGCGACTTTGCTCCTCAGAACATGATGCGATCCATCGCCAGACAAGTCTGCTCGCAGCTCGTTAGCGGTACGTGGTCCGGTCACCCAGAACCGGGTCGCCCAGAACCGGGTTGACCAGATGTGGCCCGCTGCTCTATTTTATTGCTGCAAAGCTTCTATATTCTTCTTTCATTCCAGATCAAATGAGCCGGGTCAACACGATGCTGAACCAGATCCCCAACGGGAACCACAGAGGCAGCAACAATCCGGGCCCCCCAGGGCCTCCCGGACCTCCCGGCAGTCAGGGACCACGTGGAGAACCGGGCCCCGGAGGAAGGAATGGATTCCCAGGAAATCCAGGTTTACCTGGCCAGCAGGGAGAAAGAGGTGGGAGCGTCAGTCTGAGGGAACCAGAACTCAAACCTACCAGAACATCTGGAAGAAAAGTCCGTAACATCCCATTCATGGTGTGTTCAGGTCCTGCAGGAGAAAAAGGAGACCGAGGCGTTCCGGGAGTCGGACAGAAAGGACCCAGAGGGCCTCCAGGTACCGCCGCTCTTCATTTGGAGAAATTGAGTCCGCTCAGTCTGAGGATCATTATTAAGGAGGGATTATTAGTGAAACGCGGTCCAAGCCGTCCTGAATCCACGTTCATTAACTTCCAGTCTTCCCAGCATCGATGTGCAGAACCAGAATAACTGCGACTGTTAGTGTTAAACTGGTCCAAATGGACCAAAATGAAGCAAAATGATGAACTAGTGAGGATCTGAGGAGGGAGAGACGGAGACGTTCCAAACGTTCCGTGTTCCAACCCAGATCAGCAGATCCTTATTTTCCTCCCACAGCTCAGTTTTCCACATCCGGACTCTGATCCTCAGACTGTCAGCAGCAGATGAGGACGATTTTTTTTAATTTACGAGGTTTCTAAGTGCGGATGATGCTGACCAGCCCGTAATTATCTGTTAGCTTCTAAACTCATAAAACAAATTTTCCTCCAGACAGTTTTAGAGGAAGGAATCTCTTTCCAGCGCTCCAGGTGGAGGACGGCAGCGTAGGATTTATTCCCAGCTTTGGTTTTAGGGTCCAGATTAAAATGTCTCAGCGTCTCCTGAGACGGAGGCAGACTTTGTGGCTCTGTGGGGCCCCTCCTGGCCCCAGAACCAGGGCAGGTTTACAGACACAGCAGCTGCTTACATAAAAAAATTTTTCTGATTCTTTTAAAGTGAATTCAGAAACAATGAATTGATGTTTTCTTTATAAAAGGATAAAATGGATAATAAGAAAAGATGAGATTCTGATGGAGATAATGCTATGGAGGGAAATACGCTCCATTATCCTCACAAAGAGAATATTTTCTACAAAAAAAAAAAAAAAGATTCCACCATAAGCGTTTAGGAAAATGGATAATGAATGGATGGATGGATGAAAAAAAATCCACAAATTAAATTAAAAAAAATACAGATTTTATATTTTCACCTTTTATTTTCAGGTTTTTTTGAATTGCATTGTTTTCAAATTTTGTTTTCCAAACAGTTTCTCTGGACCAATCAGAACGTTTCAGCGTCCAGCAGACCAATAGAAATACGACCCAGAGGAAAGCATGAAGAGAATTTGATCTGGAAAACACATTTAGAAAATAATGCGAATGAAAAAGAAGAGTTACTCTAATTTATTTATTTTTTATTTTTTTGTTTCATTTGCATTTTTTTATTTTATTTTAAAAACGTGTTCTTAGTGTGAAACAATTAATGGTATAAAACTCACTCTATATACGGCTGAACAACATAATAAATATCCACTAACGAATATATTTTGCTGTTTGAAGTCCAACATGAACCTGAAGCCAAACTTTGTAATGAATAATTAATTAGCAAAACTGTCATTTTTAAAAAGTATCTCATACAGATAAACTGTTTTATTCTATATCCTCTTAAAGAAGACTTTTATTTTGATAGGATAGCAATCCCATTAACTGGTTTGGATAAATTATCATGTTTGAAGTGATTAAGTGTGATGTTTAGGCTTTTATTTTGAAAAATTGTGAAAGTTTTACTTTGAAATGGTTACATTTTTTCTTTTACTAGTAATATAGACCCTCCTTTGGATAATATTCTTCACGAGATGTTTTATTCTGCTATTGGTTGAGCTTTATCTAAAAAGTCCAGCAAAAAGGGTAGCGGGGAGGGGAAATGCAGGAGGAAGTCCTCCAGAGTTTTATTTTGAAGGTTCTTATTGATCAAACTGTTGCACCAGTGACAATGTTTTACTGGTTAACTGTAAAATAAGTTGTGTTAAATGGAGGAAAGTGATGTTGCTTGGAGCAGAGGAAACGGGCCCCAGATTAAATCCGCCCGGGGCCCTCATTCATCCCTGAACCACCTGTGCTCCGGACTCAGTCAGGCTTTTAACCTGAAAGGCAGGAAGTCATTCAGAACCAGAAACCATATAACCTGCAGCGTCTGTTTCCTCCACCAGGTCCTCCAGGAGAGAGCAGGACCGGATCCCCAGGCTCCACAGGCTCCCCCGGACCCCGCGGCCCCCCCGGCCGTCCAGGCTACGCCGGAGTCCGCGGTCCTCCGGGACCTCCTGGATACTGCGATTCCTCTCAGTGTGTCGGTATTCCTTACAACGGTCAGGGATACGTAGGTGCGTAGGCGGAGGAATGATGTGGGATCAACATGTCTGACGGAGGGGAAGGTTCCTCTGGTGAGGAGTCTGGGTCCAGGAGCAGATCAGATGGGTTCTGAACCCTTTTATTCCAATCAAACATCCTTCTTAGCTCTCCTAAAATCAAATCTTTTTTTTTTTGTTCGGCTTCAGAGCCGATCTGTAGAACTTTATATATCAGCCCACAGATTCTGGTTGCTGATAGAAATCCCAGTTCAGGCCCACAGAACCGCCGCTTTTCCCCCCATAAATCATTTCATGTTTTCTTTTATTTATTCTTCCACTCATCTCAAGTCAGCCCACCCGTTACCATGGTGACCTGATATCTGCTGCCAAGTTTCTGATGTCCTGAGGTTTGAAACCGCTGTGACTTCTCTGTCTGCGTGGTTTCAGGCCGGCCGCGGTGGTGCGTTCAGTACCATTCGTAAAAACGACACGTTAAATAGGTATAGAAAAATCCCAGAAGGTTAATCGGACTCCGTTAGTGATCTCACTGATCAGGAGGAGCAGCAGGAAAGCGAAATTCTCCCAGTGGTGCCCGACTTTACGCGAGTGAATAAAGTGAATGTGATTGGTCGATTATCAAGGGGGCGGGATTGTTGTGGTGGAAGGTTCACAAGCATGTTTGATTGTGGCCGGTTTGTCGGAAGCATCTTGCTAACCAGTTAGCAACTTAGTGCTAGCAGGTTCCCAATGGGAAATTCCATTGGGACCAAGTAGCACTAAATTGGTGACTTAGAAACGACGCTGTCAAGGAACGCTATGGACAGAGGAAACATGCAAGAGGAGGAGAGTTTAGTGTCGGAGGTCGTGGATGAGTCTCCTCCATCATCCATTTTTTATTTAGAGGAGGAAAGCGGGGACGAAGATGTTGTGGAAGAGGACGCCAGGGCGGCAGAAGCTTGGTTTGGTGTAGAAGGCTTCCAGCCGTACATGTTTGAGCCCTTGCCTCGCAACGCTGCCAGTTCTGTTAGCTCTACGCCTGCCGAAGACACAGACGTCCATCCCCGTGAACACTGGGACGCAACTCAATGGGAAAGGAAAGGATTCTGGTTTCAACCGCTGCGTATATTAGCTGCGACATATGAATCAAGATGCTATGACCGAAAACATATCAAAAAAATATTGTCTGATAAAGAACAAATTTATATACATGTTTAAGCCTAAATGATTTAAAATTTAAATTCTCTACGACTTTAAGGGATAATTATCTCTAAACGTTTTCTATATTTTATAAAATGGATCAAAAGTTTGTATTTCAAGTGTTAGAAATCCCTCTTCCTCTTTTCTACTCCGTTTCTGCTACTAGTTGCTAAAAGCGGGCAGTTCATGTGGAGTGCCCTCTAGTGGTTAAAAATAAACCTGCAGCTCCTCAAGCAAAGGTGTAAAATCCAAAGGGACGTTCAGCACACCAAACGACAGTAAAATTAATTCATTATTCCATAAAGTCTCCAATAAGCAACCGGAACATTTTAGCAAAAGAAGAGCAGCGTTGCATGTTCTGGGTTGACCCTGGAAAAAAAAACACACAAAAAAAAAACAACAGGCGATATTTTTAATTTTCTAAAGTCAAAAGCTAAAAAAGCTAAATGTGTTTCTGCCCGATTAGAACTGATTGTCATTTACGTATGGCCCTTGAACGCACCACTATCCGTGTTCTGCCCCTGTGTCGTCTTCATAATCGGGTTCTGATTTTTTAAATTCATCAGTAATCCTCCATGCAGGAAACATGCAGCATAGATCTGCAGCAGATAGATGGAACTCCAAAGCCCTTCAGTCTGAACTTGGACCCAGACTCTGAGGAATTCTGCATGTGTTGACCCGACTGACCCGCTCCATCCTGTCTGGCCCGTTTCAGGTTCACCATATTTAGGGTAGTAATGCCGCCTGCGCTGCTTTCACTGACTTCCTGAACCAAGCAAACACTTGTTGACAGAATAGCGCCGCTTAAAGGAAAAAAAACAAACCCGCCACCGGAACCCCTTAACCAGCGCCGGCCCAGAGGAGCCGTACTAACAGCAGCGGCGCTGACGGCACCGACCCGCCGAAGCCAGCCGAGGAGCATGAGCCGAACGGTAGCCCGTACTAACAGAGGTGGATTAACAGAGCCGGGACCGGGGGATAAACCGAGCCCGACTTTAACTCCTGTAACCTGACACCGCTCCTCTGGGGCCCCGGAGGGTCCGACTCCCGTCTCCTTCCACAAAACTTTCCCCTTTCTATCCTAAACTCTGGGTTTGTGTCAATAACAACTCTACTTCCTGCCTTATTCTGTGATCAAGTCACCTGACTAACACCTGGAGGGGCGTGGCCTCTGCCTCTGACAGCTGATTGGCTCGTTTCAGCAGATATTCTATCCAATTCAGTTTATTTCTATAGTTACTTTACAGTTCACCAGATCATCCATTCAGATTGTCTCAAAGTTTCCCTCACACTAAACATGCTTGTAGCGACAGTGGGGAGGAAAAACTCCCTTTGAACAGGAAGAAACCTCCAGCTTCTCTCACACCTTCGTAGTCTACAAAATAAAACTGTTGGAAAATTCAAATTAAGAAAGATTTTTCCAACCTGTGAATCATTTTTAGGATGAATAAACAATATTGCCAGATTGGACAGATGCAGTGACCACGCCCCCTTCATGTAAACACGCCCCTCCCTACATGTGGCCACGCCCCCTGCTGTTGGGACTAACGTCAGCTCTGCGTGCGCATGCTCTGATGCCATAAATGTTTGTCCTCGTTAAACTCAAACGAGCGTCTCCGAGCAGGAACCCGGGTCGCCTCCGCCCCCCAGGAGAACCAGCTGCTGCAGAACCAGCGCCGGAAGAGGTCGCTGCCCAGAAAGTCGTCTGACAGGCTGTCATCATAAGAGCGTCTGTGTTTTGTTCCCGGAGGGGTTTGAAACCTTGAAAATGCCTGAAAGTGTTTGTGAATATTAACTGTGCGTGGCGGGTGACGGGACTGGAAGAACCGGGTGTTCAGCCCAATTTTTAATAACATGGAAGAAAATGTACTGAGGACCAATTTTAAAAAAAACAACCTGTGAGCTTCTCGTTTTCCTGCCTGTAACATATTTGCTTTAGGTTTGTGTTAAAGGAGCAGCAGAGAAACAAGGTTCATTATAACAGCTTTCCTGCGTATCTTAGTATTTATCAGTTTGCCTTTTTTCTGTCACAGTTCATGTTAGCAGCAGTGGAATCACATGTGCTTCCTGTTCTTCTTACATGTCATTGGGTTTAATCAGAACATCTGAGACGCAGCATCACTTTTCATAAATTCCACAGCCGTATTTCTTATTTATTTCTGAAAACAGAAGAGGCATTTTTCAATAAAACTACTGAAAATCTCACGCTGTCTGTTTGGAGTTTTCATTCCTGGGAATTGAAATAAAACCGGAGCTGGAGATGACCTCGGAGTGAGGAGGAAGCTGATGCTCTGATGGAATATCTGGTTAAGAGAAGGTGGGTCCAGTTAACGCCACGCTTTGACCACATCCAGAGTTCCGCTTCTGTTTTTTAGGAAACTGATCCATGCAGCCAAATTTTAAAGCCAAAAGAAGAAGAAAATATCAACGACCCAGATCATTGAAAATAAACAAATTAATTTCCTTAAAATCCAGGCAGGTAGATCTTCCAAATAGATTAAAGTTTTCTAAGGAAAACCAGCTGTTTGCATCCAGCCTTTGACTTTTAAGATTTGCTCCACCTGGATATGCATGCGGCGACGGTGGGGAGAGAAACCCTTTGACAACAAGGTACCTACAGCAGAACAGATTTAATGTGAGCTGCCTTCTACTGAGGAAGACTGGGGGATGTTAAAGACCGAGACAGACAAACAAAAAGAACATAGACACTAATTTATAAATAATTTCTATATTAGAAAAGCTAACGCTAAGCTAGCTCCATGAGTGACTGGGAAAGAAACAGTTAATCAGAGGAGCTCTCGGCTAGTTTTCATTTCAAAGGGATGAGAGAGAGAAAATCCAGTTAGTCACAGTAAAAGCTGAGTCCATAGCTGTCAGAGAGAAACAGGACTAAACACTGAAAATATGCCGGTGAAGATTCTCAGTCATCCAGTTCATAGTCATTCCAACAAGAGTAAAAACAAAAAAATCAATCAACTAGACTTTTTTTTCCAAGTTTGAAGACGTTTCTCTTCCATCCAGGAAGATTTTTAAATTAAAAATGCCAGAAATAGCGTTTAGTTCCAGGTTTTTATAGAGTGGACCTAGAAAGCCTTTTTTTTTGGCTTAGAAAACATGTAAATAGAACCAGAAGGTTGTCGTTTGGGGTCTTTGTTAGCATGCAATACCCAATACTGGTCTATGCCTCTGTAAGGGAAGTTGTTAGGGGGGATTGTTGGTGGGAGAACAGAGATAGAATGAAGCAGAATGATGAAAAAGGGGTCCCTATGTCCTCCAGCAGTCTAAGCCTATAGCAGCAGAGCTATAGAGATAGATCAGGATAACCTGAGCCACTCTAACTAGAAGCTTTATCAAAAAGGAAAGTTTTAAGCCTAGCCTTAAAAGTAGACAGGGTGTCTGCCTCACGGATACATTTTAACACATTTTCTCATGATGCTCATGATTGCTCCTTTTTTTTAATTTATGAAGAATTTATTGTTTTTCTACATTGTTTCTAGATGAGTTCACCTGAAGCTGACGCTCAATAAGGACAATTTTATGTTTCTTTCAATGATCTGAGTTTATTTCTACGTTACGGAGCATCGAGGAGAAACCAGCGAGTTCAGAGAAAATCAAGCAGGAAGTTCTT